TGAGCTGCTTAGCGCCTGGCAGGGGGTCAGGATTGCAAATCAGAGAGAAGCAGGGCCTGGTCCTAACGCGGTTGGAGAGGATTTGTGGTAAAGAGCCAGCATCCCTGCAGGGGTGCCCACGACTCAAGGGAACACTGAGGCATACTTGCAAACTTCTTTCAAAACCATCCATGTAGCCAGCCCCTGTGGCTCATGCCGGTAATTCTAGCAACTCAGAAGCCTGAGCTCTGAGGATCATGGTTCAGAGCCAGCACAGATGGACATATTGAGAGATTCTTAGTTGCCATTAGCTACCAAAAGGCCAAAAGTGGAGCTGTGACTCAAGTGCTACCTAGAGCACTAGGCTTGAGTATGAAAGTCATGAGAGAGTGAGAGGCCCTAGGTGATACTAGAGTTCAAGCTCTAGTATCACCACCAAACCAAACCAAACCAAACAACAATAACAAGCAAACAATGATCTAGGGCCCCCAACTGGCCAGGTCTTTTTGAGACCTGTTTCAGGGCTGGATGGGCACCTTGGACAGGTTGAAGACATGTTTTGGATGACGTTCCTTTTTTCTCTTTCTTTCTTTCTTTCTTTCTTTCTTTCTTTCTTTCTTTCTTTCTTTCTTTCTTTCTTTCTTTCTTTTCTTTCTTTTCTTTTTTGTCGGTTATGGGGCCTGAACTCTGGGCCTGGGCACTGTCTCTCAGCTCTTCAGCTCAAGACAAGAGCTTTACCACTTGAGCCACAGTGCCACTTCCAGTTTTCTGGTGGCTAACTGGAGATAAGAGTCTCACATACTTTCCTGCCTGGGCTGGCTTTGAACTGTGATCCTCAGATCTCAGCCTCCTGTGTAGCTGGAATTACAGGTATGAGCCACCAGTGCCCTGTGACATTCTTTTGTGAGGTTGGTAGGTCCACCCCACTTCACAGCTTCCAGGGCTCCCAGCTCAGGAGGGCTGCAGAATCAGCAGAGAAAGAAATACAATGCTTCCATTCCAGGGCCTGGGCTACTGCTGAGTCTGCCTGTTTGTCTAGGGTGAAACTCTGGAGCCTGCTGGTTACTGCTGAGTCTGCCTGTTTGTCTAGGGTGAAACTGACAGGCCGCTGGAGGGCAGAGGCAGCTGAGAAAAGCCACTTCCTGAAACACCACCTGTCCCAATTATACACCACCTGTCCCAATCGTTCTTTGGGGGCACTAGCCTGAAACTGTTCAAACTTGCAAAACAAGTTACATGTTAAAAGTTCCTGCTGACCCTGGCCATATCCACCCTGCTACAACCAGATTTTGGGCGACCTCTCTGATCCTGACCAGGGAGTGTGCCTGGGAGCGTACCCCAATAAACTTTTCTTTCTTCACCTTTACCTCCTCCTGTGTGTTTTTTCCTCACCTAAAACCTTACAGAAACCTGCAGCCTGTGTGTTTAATAGCTTCCAGGTTAAACTAGTGATGGAGGGTGACGGGAGGGCTCAGGGCCACTTGTCCTTCCTAGCCTAGTAACTGTGGGATGCCTCAGACTTAAATTTTGAATTCTTTTTTTTTTTTAAAATTTTTTTTTGGTCTGGTCGTGGGGCCTGAACTCTGGGCCTGGGCGCTGTCCCTCAGCTCTTCAGCTCAAGGCTAGCACTCTACCACTTGAGCCACAACACCACTTCCGGCTTTTTTCTTTTTGCTTATGTGGTGCTGAGGAATCGAACCCAGGGCCTCGAGCATGCAAGGCAAGCGCTCTACCACTGAGCCACCTTCCCAGCCCCCAAAATTTTGAATTCTTATGTATGTTGTCATTGTTGTTATTATTATTATTTTGGTGCTCAATCCTGGGGCTTGAATTCAGGGCTTATGCTTTTGTATATCTTTATACTTTCGAATGTACTTTTAGGTTATTTGTTCTGAACTGGCACTCAACCACTCGAGTGACAGCTCTCCTTTGGGCTTTTTGCTGGTTAATTTGGAGAGAGGAGTCTCAGGGATTTTCCTGCCAGGGCTGGCTTTGAATCATGACCTTCAGATCTCAGCCTTCTGAGGAGCTAGGATCATAGGCATGAGCCACCAGTACCTGGCTGAATTCTTTTTAGAATGGAAAATATGAGGAAAAGCTAAGATTGTAGTATAATAGTCCTTTATTTATATGTTACCTGGATTCAACAATTATAAAAATTTTTCCTGTGGTTGTTTTAAACAATCATATCCTCCACCCCCACCCCCAGCCTTCTTTTTTCTGGCAGTACTGGGGTTAGAACTCAGGATGTCATGCTTGTTCTAAAACTTGAGCCATGTCACCAACCAATTTTGCTTTAGAACCATTTTGAGCAGTAAATGGATTGGGACCTACTGTGTAAAATGCTAGGAGGTTTTCCTGCTGTCTTTCATTCACTTAACATTTAATGAAACAATTATCTATTGGGTTCTACATGTCAAGTATTATTCTAAACCCCTGCAATTCTCAAGTGGGAAAACAAAAAATTCCATATTTATGAATCTTGCATATTAATGGGTATTATATTGGCTCTGTTGCATATACTTTCGTCATAATTCAGCTCATATTTATTCCCAGTGATGATGGAATACCTGTCACATGTTGGGCCCTGTTACTATTCTTCATTGCGTGTCACACATATGAACTGATATAGAATGTGGGTGTTCATCCAATAGATTAGTGAAGAACCATGATCATACTCTAGGGGCCAGTCCCCTGTCTTTTATTAAAGATTATCAGTGAAATTTTGAAACATTCACAATCTAAAAGGAAATGTCTCCAAACGTCCTTTTTCAAGTGGAGCAAAAAAATCTTCGGGTTGGGGCTGGGAAAGTAGCTCAGTGGTAGAGTGCTTGCCTTGCATGCATGAGGCTCCGGGTTCGATTCCTCAGCACCACATAAGCAAAAAGAAAAAAAAGCCGGAAGTGGCACTGTGGCTCAAGTGGTAGAGTGCTAGCCTTGAGCTGAAGAGCTGAGAGATAGCGTCCAGGCCCCACAACCGGACCAAAAAAAAAAAAAAAGAAGAAATCTTCGGGTTGGTCTGCAGCTCTGGAGCTGCTGTTTCTTGCCATTTGGGGGTAGAGATGATCACAAATTGTCCATCCATTTGACTGACTTCTGCCCAAGAATGAAGGTCCTCTCCTTGGAGAACCTTCCTCTCTTTGGTTCTGAGGGTACTAAGCTTGGTTTCAATATTGAAACCAAGACCAAAATGAGATTTTCTTTGCATTCCTCAAATTTTAAAAGCTTGGCTGGGCACTGGTGGTTCACACCTGCAATCCTCACTACTCAGAAGGCTGTGATTTAAGGGTTGAGGTTTGAAGCCAGAGTGGGCAGGAAAGTCCATGAAACTCTTATCTCCAATTAACCAGCAAAAATCTACAAGTGGAATTGTGGCTCAAGTGGTAGAGCACCATCCTTGAAGGAAGAAGCTAAAGGACAGTGCCCAGTCTCTGGGTTCAAGCCCCAGGACTGGCACAGAAAAATCAAACACACAAAAATATAAAAGCTTTACTCCACTCCCTATTTTATTTTATTTGTGAAGATACTGTACAGAGGGGTTACAATTACATGGGCAGGATAATGCGTACATTTCTTACCAAACATTGCAGCCTCCTCCTTTTGTTTACCCTTCACATCCCTTCCCAGCCTCCCCCCTCCCCCGCAATCCCAATCCTTCTCCTTCCCCCCCCCCCTCGCACCGACGTTGTAAAGCTCGTTTTGGACATGACAACTTGTACTTCTCATTGTTGCAACAGGTCCACCTGTATCTTTAAACAACTGGTTTTTCCCCATCTCCTCCTCAAGTTATACTGACATCAAATATAGTGAAAGCAGGGGTTATACTGTGGGGGAGGGACATACAAAGCAACAAAGAGATAATCTTATAAATGCATTAGAAACACATGCATGAAAGAAAAAAACATTAAAATACATATCTAAGGGTTCATTTTCCTGACATCACATTATCTGACCTTTTCTGCTTGACTCATAGATATACTAGATATTGCAAATAAGGGAAACCATGGGACCTATGTTTCTTTGGGCCTGGCTTACTTCACTTAATAGAATTTTTTCCAAGTTTTTCATTTCCTAACAAATGGGGCAATGTCATTCCATTGTGTATATATACCACATTTTCTTGATCCATTCATCTACTGAGGGACCCACTCCCTTTTTTGACATAACAATCATGATAAAAGTTTTCTGGATTCTTTTTGATAGAGATAGGATAGAGAGGAAGACATTTTTAAACCTTTATTTAAAAAAATTAATTTATTGTTATTATAAAGGTGGTATAAAGAGCCAGGTGCTGGTGGCTCACATCTGTAATCCTAGCTACTCAGGAGCTGAGATCTGAGGATCACAGTTCAAAGCCAGCCTGGGCAGGAAAGTCCTTGAGATTCTTATCTCCAATAAAAACCATCAGAAAACTGGGAATGGCTGTGTGGCTCAAGTAGAGCACTAGCTTTCAGCTGAAGTGCTGACAGTGCTCAGGCCAAGAGTTCAAGTCCCATGATTGACACTCCCCCCCCAAAAGGTGATATACAGAGAGGCTACAGTTACACAAGTCATGTGAAGAGTGCATTTCTTTTTGAATAATGTCACCCATTCCCTCACTCTCTCCCAGATTTTCCCTCCCATCCCCACCCATAAGTTGTATAGTTCATTTCAACATAGTGTCTAGTGAGTACCACTGCTGTATTTGATCACCCTTTAGTCCTCCATTTCTGTGCTACTCTTATGCTCCCAAAGACAGATAAATAAACAAGACAGAAAAGAAAACAAAAAACCCCCAATGAAGCATAAACCTTCTTGTTTCTATTTCCTGCAGTTCATTTTGATAAATATTATTTTGTATGAGCTGATGCACATTGACATTGCACCTTTGTGGTCCTTTCCTACAAGTATTCTTCTTTGGTCTTACTGTGTGTGAATGTCTAGAGTCCTGTGTAAGCTAGCCTGTCCAGGTGTATTTTAGATCTAGCTTCCTCATATGAGAGGACACATGTGCCATTTGTCAGTTTCTGAGTTTGACTTACCTCACTTAACATGATTTGTTCTAGGTTCATCCATTTCCCTGCAAATGATATCATAGTCTTCTTTTGAAAAATATTTTTTATTGTAAAGATACTGTACAGAGAGGTTACAGTTACACAAGTAAGGTAATGAGTACATTTCCTATCGAACATTGTTACCTCCTCCTTTGTTTTTCCCCTACCATCCCTTCCCTCTCCACCTCCCCAACTCCTCCCTTCCCCAACTCCAAGTTATAAAGTTCATTTTCAACGTAGTGTCTTGTACATTTCATTGTTAATGGATCAACATGTACCCTTCTTTCAGGATCTTGTTATTTCCCTTTCCCTCCCCAAATTAGAAAAATGTATATACAAGATGCAGGACACTGGAATCAAATACAGTGACAACAGGGGTTGTACTATGGGGGAAGAACATATAAAACAAACAAAAAAAATCACATAGTACATTAAAAACAACAGCGACAAAGAGAAAACCTTTTGTGTCCCTATCTTGGGGTTCATTTCACTTAGCATCATCTTATATGGTCATGTGTACATAGCTTTTGACCTTTTATGCTTGTCCAGTAAGATTATCCTCGATGTATACCAGTTATTGCAAATAAAGGAAACCATGGGACCTATGTTTCTTTGGGTCTGGCTTACTTCTCTTAATATAATTTTTTCCAAGTTTTTCCATTTCCTAACAAATGAGGCAGCATCATTCTTTCTGATGGAGGCATAGAATTCCAATATATATATATATATATATTTTTTTTTTTCTTGATCCATTCAACTACTGAGGGACATCTGGGTTGGTTCCATATTTTAGCTACAGGAAGGAATAGGAGAAATACTAGGGCTCCTTGGCACAAGCCGAAATTTTCTTAATAGAGACCCAGAAACACAACAAATCAAAGAAAGGTTGGACAAATGGGATTGCATTAGACTGTAGAGCTTCTGCAAAGGACCTAGCTAGCAAGATCAATAGAAAGCCCATGGACAGGGAGAAGATCTTCACTATCCATACAACAGACAAGGGCCTCATATAAATAAACTTAGAACTCAAAAATTAAATCCCCCAACAACAAATCCTCAAAGAAACAACTGCCTGATTAATAAGTGGACTAAAGACTTAAAGAGAGACTTCTCTGAAGAGGAGATAAGAATGGCCAATAGACACATGAAGAAATGCTCAACTTCTCTAGCCATAAAAGAAATGCAAATTAAAACAACATTGAGATTCCACCTCACTCCAGATAGAATGGCAAAAATCAAGCACTCTAATAACAACAGATGCTGGAGGGGATGTGGCCAAAAGGGAACCCTACTGCATTGTTGGTGGGAGTGTAAACTTGTTCAACCACTCTGAAAATCAGTATGGAGTTTCCTCAAAAGACTCCACATAGAGCTCCCCTATGACCCAGCAATCCCACTTTGGGCAATTACCCAAATGATCACAAACAAGACCACACTAAAGCTACCAGCACAACTATGTTTACCATATTATTCTTTTTTTTTATCATTCATGTAACTTTTATTAAGTATATCGCTCTAGTCTCTGCTGTACTATTGTTAATCTTCTAGTGCCTATTTATAAACTATACCATACATAAATTGAGGGAGAAAAGGAAAATAAATGCAGTCATTATAGTCTATTAACATTATGCAAACACTGAACAATGTAACTTGAGGGTAGGGCTGAGACAGGGAAAATGGGAAGAATAGTGAAAGGGGTGACTTTATCAAGAAGCATTGTACTCATAACCTGACCTGTGGAACTGAAACCTCTTTATAGAACTACTTAGTTTCTTTTAAAAAATGTATCATAGGGATGCACTATAAGGAAAAAATATAGGATTCATTACTATACTATTTCAAGCATAGTAACAAATGACTATTCAGTAATGACCATTGAGAAATGCTCTTTGAATATAATTCCTGTGAGGACTACATACACTATAGTAGCTAGTTACATATTCACTACAGCCAACATACTATAAATATCTCATCTCCACACCTTTGAGCCAATTGAGTTATTCTGTTGACATCCGGAGTAACTATTGATAAGAAGAGGCTTACTTATGCTACTTTGCCTTTTCTTTCTGCAAGTCCTATAGTGTTTTGTCCTTTTTAAAATTTATGTTTATCTTCTTTTAATTGAATTTTTTATTGTGAAAATATCTACAGAGGGGTTACAATTACATGAGCAAGATAGTGGGTGCACTTCTTATTAAGCATTGTTGCCTCCTCCTTTGTTTCCCTTTCTCATCCTTTCCCATCTCCAACCCCCCCACCCCTCCACCCCCCTGCCAAAGTTGTAAAGTTCATTTTTTGACATAATGACTTGTACATCTCATTGTCTCAAAGGGTCCACCTGAATCCTTATTTAAATGATTTGTTTTTTCCCTTCCCCTCTACAATTTATACCAACATCAAATACAGTGGGTTATACCGTGGGGGAGGGACATACAAAGGAACAAAGAAATCATCTTATAAATATGTTAGAAACAATCACATGAAAGAAAAAAACATTTGAATATTTATCTTAGGGTTCATTTCACCTAACATCAATTTATCTGACCATTTCTGCTTGTCTCAGACATATACTAGTTATTGCAAATAAGGGAAACCATGGGACCTATGTTTCTTTGGGCCTGGCTTACTTCACTTAATATAATTTTTTCCAAACCTTTCCATTTCCTAACAAATGGGGCAATGCCATTCTTTCTGATGGAGGCATAGATTCCATTGTGTATATATACCACATTTTCTTGATCCATTCATCTACTGAGGGGCATCTGGGTTGGTTCCATATCTTAAATAAGGCTGCAATAAGCATAGTCGTGCTGGTAGCTTTAGTGTGGTCTTGTTTGTAAACATTTGGGTAAATGCCCAAAAGTGGGATTGTTGAGTCATAGGGGAGCTCTATGTGGAGTCTTTTGAGGAACCTCCATACTACTTTCCAAAGTGGTTGAACAAGTTTACACTCCCACCAACAATGAAGTAAGGTTCCTTTCTGTCCACATCCCCTCCAGCATCTGTTGTTATTAGAGTTCTTGATTATAGCCATTATAACTGGGGTGAGGTGGTATCTCAATGTTGTTTTGATTTGCATTTCTTTTATGGCTTAAAGAGGTTGAGCATTTCTTCATGTGGCCATCCTTCTTTCTCTTCAGAGAAGTTTCTCTGAAAGTCTTTAGCCCTCTTATTTATTGGGCAGTTGTTTCTTTGAGGATTTGTTGTTGGGGGAGTTAATTTTTTGAGTTCCAAGTATATTTTAGCTATGAGACCCTTGTCTATTGTATGGCTAGTGAAGCTCTTCTCCCAATCCCAACTGAATTTTTTCAGTGAGATATTTTTATTCCATTCCTTAGGGATTCTCCCTGTTTTTCTCACTGTGTCCTAACCAAAACTGAGAATAGCCAGGTACCAGTGACTCATGGAGGCTAAGGTTGGGAGGTTTGTGATTTGAGATCAGCCCTAGGAGAAAAGTTCACAAAATAAATTTTGATTACATTGGAAGTGGCGCTATGACTCAAGTGGGATTGTGCTAGCCTTGAGCTGAACAGCTGAAAGACAGCACCCAGGCCCAGAGTTCAAGCCCTATGACAAATGGGGGAAACACAACGAAAGAATAAATTTTGATTATATAACTTTACAACTAATGGTTAAATTAACTTTAATTTTCTAATGTACTAAGTTGTACAGACATCAGAGTGTTGGGTGATAGGAAATGTCAACTGATTAGAATACACAGGACTTTAGGTTCACTTCCTTGTAGGTCTCCTCTCCCCAAATAAAAAAATCCCAGCTGGTGCTGGTGGATTACACCTGTAATCCAAGCTACTCAGGAGACTGAGATATGAGGATCTCTGTTTGAAGCCAGCCCGTAGTCTCCAATTCACTACCAAAAAGTCAGAAGTGGAACTGCGGCTCAAGTGGTAGAATGCTCATTCAGAGAAAAAAAAGCTAAGGGACAGCACTGAGGCCCTGAGTTCAAGCCCCAGTTCTGGCACACCGGCTCGCACACATGCACAGATGCGCGCACACATCAACCTCTCTGGACATTAATGCCTTCCTTTACTGACTGGCGGAAGGACCATGTTTCCCGGCTCACTGGCCTCCTAGTTTAGAAGGTTTAGCTTCCCGCTAAACTTTCTTGAAGATGGGAACAAGGCCAGGAGATACGGATGCAGCTGGACCACGCTGCCTTAATCCCTCCAGCGGTGTCCACACTGAGCGTTCAGCACTTGTAGAAGGCGATCATTGGCTTGCCTGCAGAGCGGGTCTGAAGCTGCATGAAGTAAGCACGGGGATGTTGGCGTTTGGGACACGGCTTTGCGGAGGAGTCAGCGTCCTCCTAAGCAGCTGCTCCTTGGAGGACACCATCTACTTCTTTCAGCTTTGGAAACTTCCTGGTGTTACCCTGCAGGTAATAGTGCGCACGCAGGGACAAGTGTTGCAGGCGAAGCTGTTCCTCCTCCACTATCAGCCCGTTCCTGCAGCCAGGGCAGAAAAGCAGCAGCACTCCAGCTTGGCAGGCCGCTGGGTTGAGGACTGTGTGGGGACAGGGCCAGAGTGGCAGCCCAGGCGCAAGCAAACCCGGGGCCTGGCTGTCCACCCCCTCTCCCCCCCCCCCCATATACACACCATCAGCCTCCAGCCTCCAGCCATTCTGCAGATGAGGAGGCAGCTGGGAGAGGCCACGGCCTCACGGAGTCTACTTCGCCTCTCTTGCTCCTGGGTTTCCCCTCTGTCTTGGCATGCACTATCCTACACCACGCACCAGCTTTTAGAGGGGACTGTGGAGCACTTAGGGGCAGAAACGGTCTCTGATGAACGGATGAGGGCTTCCAAAATGACTTTGCTCTTCCCCAGGATACGTCGCTTTGATTCTCGAAGTGGCTCATCTCATTAATCCAATTGCATCATGGGAGCAGATACATGCTGACTTGCCAGAGCTAAAAGAGACATCGGAGGTCCTGTGGCTTTGCTTGTTGATTTACAAACAGAGGCTGGGGAGCTCATATGACAAC